CAGCAGCTCCCTCCCGGCGGGGGTTATTGATTGTTCTTGCACAGCGAAGGATCCCGGCTGCTGCTCAGCTGGGCTGGTTTGCATCGGGAAGATGAAGCTTAATCTGTCGTTCCTCTCTAGTCTGACAAAGGCAGGCATCTTTTTAATTTTTTGTTTTTTAAACTTTGTACCGCAACAGTCAGTATCTAGAAAGCTCTCTCCTTGAAAGCTGGTGACAGCTCTCCTTGGTTTCTAGCCATGAGGAACCCTGCCCCAACTTGTGCTGATTTCTTACAGATTGCGTGAGAAATTAAACTCTAAAAGAAATACAGTTGGTAAAAAAAATAGCGTGTGCTTTGTCCGCCACGACTCTTCATGCCGAATCAGGAGTGTTGCACTGCAACGTGGTGTTAGGTTGATGGGCAGATACTATTGTCCTGGTACAGGCTTTATCAAGCACCTCTGCCAAAGCAAATGTCCTTACTCTTCCCTTTGAGCCCTCGCCTTGCAGGTCTGGTCCCCGCTGCTTCCAGAGATGGAGAGCTTCTGTAATTTTTGCTGTGGCTGTTCATGAAACTGCCTCATAACATCCAGGTGTCCTGGGAGAGGGGTGAGGATCCCGAGGGTTTCCCCGCTTGCTGCGGGGCCCTTACTGACACTCTTGCAAGCGCTTGGTTCAGACTCCAAAACTCCGACACCCAGCAGCAGCCCACTGTAAAACGTTCCAGTTGTGTGCACTTGCTCTGGGATTCAGATTAGCGGGGGGTCCTGGGTTCAGATCCCCTTAAATGGCCTTCACTTCTCTTCAGTCCCTGCAGCTGCCCCCCTGCGAGTCAGGGAAGGTCTGGCCCGCGTGTCCCTCGTGCAGGCAGGTCCCCACGCGGCAGCGCAGCCGGCCGAGGGGCCGGGATGACGGCGCTCGGGGGGGGAAACTCCCTTGTGAAAGGAGAGAGCGTGGCACATCTGGGTGTTACAGAACTGGGAACGCGTTCCCCTGTCCCGCTTAGTAGACCACAGTATTCCTGAGGCTTTTTTAAATTCTGGACACTTTGAAATCTTTACACTTGAGCTCATTATTAGTGAGTAAGCTCCAAAAAACTTCAGAGCAGAGCTTTCTACCTCTGTTACTTAGCTGCATCCTTGCGTGGTTTACCCGCCTTTCTGCCATGCGTTCCTGGAGCGCACTGATCGACCGCTGAGCTGCCTCTTCCACTGTCCTGCAATGTGAAAGTAGCACCAGATACTCCTTTGTGCATTTCTGTGTATATGGCTTTCGTAGTTGGGATTTTCAAAGCACTGATACCCGGTGTTTTCAGTTTGTTCTATGAGGGGATATTTCATTTGCATCTATGTTTTTAGCTATCCTGTGATAACTTGTTGAATATTAAAAAATAAAAATATTTTGCTTCTATTGGGACATTTGTATACTCGCGACTATATTTCTGTAAACAGCTGCAGTCAAGAATAAAACAATGAAAGTTTTCATTTTGCAGTGTAAAGTCTTGTTGTGTGTTTTTCAAGGGCATCTCCTCTCTGCTGGGAGAAAGTGTCCATTCCTCAATATGGAGTCAACCCATCTGGGAACCGTATGGCGTCGGGTCAGGAAATACTGGGAAGGTGGGAGCCGCTCTGTGCCTGTGCTGTGTCCCGCTGGAGTTGTTGCACAGGGTCGTGTGTGCACTTTGAAAAATATACTGCAACGTTTCTTTCCGCTTTTGTGTGTTAAGGCTGAAGTAACCATCTTTGCTCCCGTCTTTAGTACCCCAGCCTGCAAATTACAGAGCATTCAGAGAAATTGTTTTCACAGTCCACCTGAGGCAGGGCCCTGGCTCCAAGGGACCTGAGGGGCGATGCAGAGGACTCCCCCAGGATGGTCTGGGAGCTGTTCTGCCCAAGGGAGGCAGAGATGACTGGAATGAATGGCCTCTCCAGCAGAATTAGTACAGTCCTACTTTATCTGCATCTTTGGTGTATTCATGCTACCATGCTAAAAGTGATCTGGGGCTCATCGAGTCTTGGGTGCGTCGTCCCTTTCCTGCTGTCCTCCTGCAGGGATGTAACAGCGGGCAGGACCATGGGGCCGGTGGCCAGGATCAGTAATTTTGAAAAATTACAACAGGGGTAAGAATAAATGCTGCAATTACCCCGAGAGCTGGGCAGAATCCTTTACTGTGAAAGGTCTAAGCAGATCACCCAGAAAGCCTTTCCCCAGCGCCTGCCCCTTCAGCCTTGTGCCCACTGCCAGTGTCGGAGATGGCTGTGCTGCAGAGGGAGAAACGCAACCCCCTGCCACTGGGTTTTGCCCTTCTGGAGCTGCCAGCCCCCTCATTGCTGACATGGGACAAAAGAAAACACCCCCAGAAACCCTCCTCAGCCCCCTCTTCTTCTTGAGGCTCAGAGGAAGGCACAGCCTGGCCCACGAGCCTGGCACAGGCAGCCACAGAAACAAGACTGAGCCACGGTGCTATGGGGTTTTGTGTTTATTAGCAACGCAGCCATTGCCTGGGCCTGGGGCGTGCCGGGGGCTGAGCAGAGAAGCCGCTACCTCGCCCGGCTCCCCCCGGTTCTGGCAGACCACAGTGGGTCAGCGCCTCCCCCAGCTCCCTGACCATACCCCACCACCAGAGGAGTGTGGAAGGAGAGGCCCGGCTCCTGCCCCGGGTGGCTGCCTTCGGAAGGGGGCTGGGAGAGGCGGTCAGGCAGCAACATGCAAGGCCTGGGCAGATGGTCCCTCGCAGCACCGGCTGCAGAGGCCCCCTCCCACCCTTCACCTCCTCTTCACAAACTTCTTCGTCACAGCGTTGGGGTTCAGGCGCCTCCTGCCAGCGCCCAGGGCCGCGTCCCGGATTTGCAGGTTGGCCGCGCGGCTGTAGACGTCATTTTCTGCAAAGGGCGAGACCCCGGCGATGTAGTCAGGGTCGAAGACGTTGGTCTTCTGCCTGGCCTTGCGGGACAGTCGCTGCTGCGGGAAGGGCTGATCTTCCACCAGGTGAGGGTTGTTTGCGTGCTTCCCTCCTTTTGGGGCCGGCAGCGGGTACTGCCAAGAGAAAAGAGGTTGTTAAACTCGCTTCAGGGCCGACTCTTGCTCAGAGGGACTTCAAGACAACCGCAGGCCTTTAGAGGCGAACTGAGCAATGAAGAACTGACCACAGGCCAGGCCACTGTCCCAGCAGCAACCGCCCAGCACGTCACATACAGCTACTCACCCGGAGCCCTCGGGGGTTCAGCACTTTGGGGTTGCGGGAGAAATGCATGTGCAGGCTCCCGTCATCGCTGACACTCACTGCGACCTTCTTCAGGGTCTTGTTACCGCAGTGGGGACAGAAAACCTTGGTCATGTCTGAAGTGGTCCTGCAAGACAGGGACAGAGGGGTTTTACTGCTCCCTGGGCCGTGGAATACCGGCTTAGCCCCTGAGCGGGATCATCCACCCAGCCCCAGCGAGCACCGCACGCCCGTGCCGAGGCAGCGCCGCTCTGCACACACACGCTCACTTGAAACAGCCGTGGCAGCGGAGGATGTAGCTCCGGGCCTGGCGGATCAGCATGCCGTTCACCGCCAGCACGTGGAGGCCCATCTGCAGCAGCACGTTCTGCAACGAGGCGGGAGAAACCAGGACACTGTGAACTGGGACTGCCAGGAGCTTTAACTGGGGTTTGCCAGCCCAGGCAGCAAGAGGCAAACGGAAGCGACGCCAACAGGCTTTGCAGAGGTCCCTGCTGTGGGCAGAACCGGCTGCTTTTTAGATAAAAGGTGCTCTCACAACACTGGTCTCATCTTGTCTTGGGGATGCAGCAGTGCTTTCCTCTGTCTTGGTGTGCTGGTTTAACCAGCCCAGACATTCGAGTAATTTGGGAATCTGCCCCTCAGCCCAGCCCCTCCGTGCAGACAGTACCCACATGGTATCAGCTGAGCCTG